AGGACAGGACAGGACAGGACAGGACAGGACAGGACAGGACAGGACAGGACAGAATAGGATAGATTATTATTACACATAAAGGCTTTTATGTCTTTTATTTGGGAACTATATGGTCTATATATGGTGAGAAAACCCAGAATAATATTTACCACAACATTTTTTACTGTACAGAGTACTAGCAGTAAGGAGAAGTTGTGCTTAAAAGTAAATGAGACATTTACACTATCCTTCCAAGGTTTAAAGAGCATGAAGGTAAAGGGCCACAAGACTCTAAAAGCTAAAATGTAGTGGTCATGGCTATAAAATACCTTCTGGGCTATACACAGCCATTGTAACCACAAATTCTCAACAGCTACAGATGCTGCATCAATTCTGCACAAGAATGGGCCATCAGCATGCAGGCTATAATGGAGTAAGGTATCAAGGAATCATGGGCCTCTCCTCTAAACTATTTCATGCTGATAAATTCAGGAAAAGGGGGAGTTTGCAAAGTCAGGTATATAACCATATCCTAGTAAGTAAAGCAGGTTCAAAAAGACAGTTCTAATCCAAATGTTACACACATGGCCTGTGTTAAAGTAAATATATCATACATCAAAACTCAAACTTATGAATCTTGGAAAAGGACAAGCAAGGTGAGTTGCTATTGATAGAATAAGAAGGGTATGAGAGAAGGTTAGAAGAAAGAACATAGAGAATACATTATGCATAATATGCAATTATGTATATAATATATAATATGTAATTTCTTACATACTATTTTGAAATTGTCAATGAACTAAATATAAAAAATATCATTAGATGGTTTCCTTATAAGACTCATATGCACCAATAGTATTTCTTACTGAAAATAGCTTCTTCAATTCTTATGGTTTGGAACTTTTAATATTTCCCCAAATCTTATGCCAGTTAGATGCTTGGTTTTCCACTACTGGTATTTTATGGAGACAGTGTACAGTTCAGGAACTGCTGGCCTAGTTGAAATGAGCTCAGTAATTGGGGCTATGACTTTAAAGGGGTATTGGGATGTTAGTTCTTCCTTTCTTGTTGTTTCCTGGTGCACAGGAGGCAGACAGTTTTTCCTTACACTCCTTGGCATGCTCTGCCTGTCACAAGTTTAGTGTGAAGAAACTAATTGACATTAAACTGAAGTCATTAGGCTGTAAATAAGTTATTTACTTCAGTACTATTGACACAAAGACAGAAAGATGACTAAAATGAGTTTCTTGACCATTCATTTTTCATCATTTTGTTTGTTTATATAGTGGATATCAGGCTTGTGATACACATTTACCATGAATAAGTAGATAGAAAGAAACATGAATGCAGATAGGCTAAAACTTGAAAATAATGAAGAAATTATCCCAGAAATTAAATATTCTTGACCCAAATGACATGGTGGTGTATATGTGTTAAGAAGCTTTTGAAGTCCTTCAAAGCAACTCTCTCTCTCTCTCTCTCTCTCTCTCTCTCTCTCTCTCTCTCTCTCTCTCTCTCTCTCTCTCTCTCTCTCTCTCTGTGTGTGTGTGTGTGTGTGTTGAACTCAAGACATAAAGAACTGACATGCCAAAATCAATTGTTTGGGAGTAGATCATAGATGGGCTTTGGTCCCCCATTGTCTCTCTGATCAGCAGTGCTGGAGCTGATAACTGTCATCAACCAAACAAAACAGAGTCTTATATACAAGGAACTGAGAATCTTGTCAAATCCTAGTAAGGGTGCCATGTTGGATATAGGGCCTACAGCCCAGCAAAGTCTCCTGATGACTGACAGCCAAGACAGTCTCTGATAGCACCACACTGATGCAGAGCTAGTAGCCAAATCATCTTCAAATCTGACTGACTGACAAAAATGAGAGGACAACAAAGGTTTGTCATGAGGCAAATGTTATTGATGGATATATTGGTCTATATATTGCTTATATATATTTGTTATGTATTTGCAACATTGCAAATAAATAACTAAAAGTAAGGTACATGACAATATTTTTACATATTGATTTTCTACAAATCTGTGAAAACATTTCTCAATTAGAAAAATGTACATAGTCTCACATACAGGAATATAAGTACTGCTACTTATAACCTAAGAATTTTAGTATCTCAAGAATTTTAATTTTAAATAATACATTTTTAAAATACTACCTGAAAATTTAACATTACTTAAAAGTAGAATATTACATAAAACTTTCATTACTTTGAAAGTAGAATATTTCTAAGGGTTATCACTACTGTATTTCCATTTATGAAAAGTTTAAAGATGAACTTCAGGATTATGAGGATTACAGAAAGCTTACAGATACACACTGGAGGCGGGATCCAGCCAGCCCCTGTACATCTTGCAAGAGGTATCCGGGCTACAGGATAGAAGCCATATTTACATCGATATATGATTATATCGTCAATTTTGTGTTCAATCTTGAGAGGTGAGTAGATACCATTCGGAATATAAGGATGTTTGCATGTCATTTCTGCAAACAAGCAAATACAAATAATGAGAAATATTTAGTCATATTAAAATTAAGAATATGAAACTAGAGGGCAAATACTGTTTATTTTGCTGATAACCTTAATAGTAACATTGAAAGGAATTCACGTCCATATGCTTGATATATCACTCAGGTTTCTCTCTCTCCTCTTGATGTATTTGTTTTTTTTTTTTTTTGTTTTTTTTTTTTTTTTTTTTTTTTAATTTTTTTATTGGATGTTTTATTTACATTTCATATGTTGTCCCCTTACCCCATCCCCCACCCACCCAGGAACCCCCAATCCCCTCACACCTCCTCCTTCTTCTTTGTGGATGTAACCTCTATCTACCCCCCCACTTCCACCTCCCCACCCTCAAAACTCCCACCCCCTGGGGCATCCAGCCTTCATGAGGTCAAGGATCTCATCTTCCACCTGTGCCCAGCAGGGCCCTCCACTCTTATATATTCAGCTAAGGCCCTGGATCCCTCCATAAGTGCTCCCAGGCTGGTGGTTTAGACCCTGGGAGCTGTGGTTGGTTGGTATTGTTGTTCTCCTCATGGGGCCACAAATCCTTTCAGCTCCTTCAGTCTTCACTCTAACTCCTCCATTGAGAACCCCATGATCACTTCAATGGCTAGTTGTGAGCATCTGCCTCTGAATATGTCAGACTCTTGAAGACCTCTGAGGAGACATCCATATCAGGCTCTTATCAGCATGCACTTCCTGACTTCCACATCAGCATCTACCTTTGGTGACTGCACATGGGATGGATACTCAGGTGGAAAGGTCTTCAGACGGCCCCTCCTTCAGTTTTTGTCCCTCGCTTTGTCTCCATATTTGCTCCCTTGAGTATTTTGTTGCTCCTTCTAAGAAGGACCGAATCACCCCCACTTGGTCTTCATTCTTTATGGACTTCATGTGGCCTGTGAGTTGCATCTTGGGCATTTTAAGGTTCTGGGCTAGTATCCAATAATCAGTGAGTGAATACCATGTGTGTTCTTTTGTGATTGGCTTACCTCACTCAGTATGATAATTTCTAGTTCCATCCATTTACCTAGGAACCTCTCAAATTCATTGTTTTTAATAGCTGAGTAATACTCCATTGTGTAAATATACCACATTTTTTTAATCCATTCCTCAGTTGAAGGACATCTGGGTTCTTTCCAGCTCCTGGCTATTATAAATAAGGCTGCTATGAACATAGTTGAGCATATGTCCTTATTATATGTTCGAGCACCTTCTGGGTATATGCCTAGGAGTGGTATAGCTGGATCCTCGGGTAATGCTATGTCCAATTTTCTGAGGAACCGCCAGACTGATTTCCAAAGTGGTTGCACCATCTTGCAGTCCCACCAACAATGGAGGAGTGTTCCTCTTTCTCCACACCCTCGCCAGCATCTACTATCACCTGAGTTTTTAATCTTAGCCATTCTGACTGGTGTGAGATGGAATCTCAGGGTTGTTTTGATTTGCTACAGAGCAATAGTGATAAAAACTACCTGGTATTGGTACAGAGACAGGCAGGAAGATCAATGGAATAGAATTGAAGACCCAGAAATGAACCCACACTCCTATGGTCACTTGATCTTTGACAAAGGAGCTAAAACTGTCCAGTGGAAAAAGGACAGCATTTTCAACAAATGGTGCTGGTTCAACTGGAGGACAACATGTAGAAGAATGAAAATTGATCCATTCTTATCCCCTTGTACAAAGCTCAAATCTAAGTGGATAAAGGACCTCCACATAAAACCAGATACACTGAAACTAATAGAAGAGAAGGTGGGGAAAAGCCTCGAATACTTGGGCACAGGGGAAAAGTTCCTGAACAGAACTCCAATGGCATATGCTCTAAGATCGAGAATTGACAAATGGGACTTCATAAAATTGCAAAGTTTCTGTAAGGCAAAGGACACTGTCAATAGGACAAAACGACAACCAACAAATTGGGAAAAGATCTTTACCAATCCTTCATCTGATAGAGGGCTAATATCCAATATATACAAAGAACTCAAGAAATTAGACTCCAGGCAACCAAATTACCCTATTAAAAAATGGGGTATAGAGCTTAACAAAGAATTTTCAACAGAAGAAACTCGAATGGCCGAGAAGCACCTAAAGAAATGCTCGGCATCCTTAGTCGTCAGGGAAATGCAAATCTTGATGTATTTGTAACTCTCTGATATTTATTTTTTTCCTTTTTCAACCTATCATATACAGTACTTCATATCACCTGCAATAACTTTATCACATATACCATTAACAATTCCTTCCACATTATAATCTTTGATTAAAACTGCTGGTATCAACTCTCAATTGGTATATGTATTGATATCCACAATCACTTTTAAATAGTTTGGAAATTTTCATAATCCTTATTCTTTGAAGTAAATTTGTCCTTTTACTTACATGAGAACAGTAAATTAATAAGGGAACTGTCTCTTTTACCTTGCACAGACCAAGGTGGTGTGTGTGTGTGTTCTTTTTAAAATGAAAAAAACCATACCATAAATGAATCACTTCATCAGTAACCTACTCTCTTTTAATTAAATCAAGTACAGAAGTAGACAGAGGATGTGAAATCAAATAGAACTCAGGCACCTACAGTTTATGAGACAGGTTTTATCTTCCATGTCACCAGAGAAGTGGATTAGAGATATTTGTTACTAACCATTGATGGAGGAAAAGAAGTCTCCCTGTTTGACTCTAAAGTCAAAGTTACTGCTTTTCTTCCCATTCCCTTTCAATCAGTCTCCATACATTAAACAATATACAGCATTTTTTCCTGAGATTATAAAATCATATAACAATTTCTATTCTTTATTTCCTATAACCAAATCCCAGTGCTCACCTATTTCTTTCATATTTACAAGTCATGATGATCTATACTTGTTTTTTCTGTGTACCTTAAAATTGTGGACTAAAAAATTAAACATAGAATACTCTCTTCAGCTTCACTCTGCATTTATTCACCGCACTCACAGCTTTTATCTAGATAATAGAAATCAGGAATTGTACACAGATAATTTTAAATGCAAAGAAAACTATGCTGATGTATTATTGACAACACTGAGCTTAAGAAACCTCTCTAAATCCCTTTTGTCTTCTGCACTTTCTTCTTTTATTCTTTCTTTCTTTATCTAATTGCTTCATCCCACAAAGAGAGCAGAATTGGAGGAGACAGGATTGCATTCTAGTAGTGAAATATATAATGCAATAGGTTATAACAACTTTACATAGGTATATTTGTATTTTAATTAATATATTTTATTTTAAATGGATTTCACTTATTTTATTTACTTAACATAGCATCATGTAAGCTTATATAGTGAAAAAATAACATACAAAATATGTGTTTCTATTATTGGACACATAGATGATATCAATTTACTCACTGAAACAAGCAGGTTAAGTAGCCCAACCACTTTCCCTAAAGAAGAGGAGGCTGAAATATTGGAAGAATCAGAGGGGATAAAGGACAAAAAGGAAACAGAGCCTTCTAAATACAGCAGTATTAAGGTTCATATGAAAATGAACAGAGTGTAGTACCATACACAGGATATTCATGGGTCTTAGAATGATGAGATCTCAGTGCTGAGAGGAGAAGTGGACACAAAGCCCTATTCCTAAGTCAGAAGCTATTTCCAACCACTCACAATGGAAAAATTAGTTTTTGCCTTTCTAATGTAGTTTCACTGAATATACCACTATATTTTTTGGGCAGGCCACATGTCAATCAGTAGATGGCCAACACAACATCAAATCAATGGCATGTTTTGTTTTTTAGACTTATGAATTATTTGAGTACATATTATGGTTTTTGATTTTGTGGTTCTGTGGGATTAACATGTGGTGAGCATATATGTATATATATATGCATATGTGTTTCTTTTGATTTTTCTTTGGCTCTTGGTCTTTGTTTGTTTTCCTATTCCACTTTGTTTTTACTTTAGATTATTTTTGATTATTATCAGTTTATTTATTTGCTTGTTTGAGAGAGAGAGAGAGTGAGAGAGAGAGGGAGAGGGAGAGAGAGAGAAGATACATATCAAGGAGAAGGGGATGGGATAGAATCTGGGAGGAAATGCAAAAGGAAAAATTATAATTAGAACATATTCATGAGCAAGAACTAATTTTCGTTAAAAACATGGAAAACAAGCTTGTTTCTTTTGCAGTTAATTATGTTGTTAGGTTCAATGATAACTACATTTGATGCTATAATTTAAGTCACAACAACCATTAATGTTATTTGTGTACTAATGTAACTTTAGAATTGTAATTAATGATTTTGAAATCATAATATTTTACATTTATCTCATGTGACAGAAGGAAAGGAAATGATGGCAGTAAAGAGATTGATGTGAGAATGTGAAATATGACAAACTATTGAATTTGAAATTGGAGGAAGACAGCCCACAGCCAACAAACAAAGTGGCATTTTGCAACAAGAAATAGGCCTGAAAATGAGTTCTTGATGGAATAAATAAAGAAACCAGCCCTGAAAACATTTCACAGTCCAGTGATACTGCTCTTAGGTATTGGGTCTCCAGCAGTTCAGAAGGATATTTTTTTACTTCCCAACACTAATTTGTCATTTTCGTCATAGGAAAAAATACAATGGCAATGGGGAAATAAAATATAATTTTACAGGAGTCCTAATTTTAGGGAGAAAATGTTCATTTGTTTTCCCTTCAAAAAATGTTATCAATTGATGTCTATGTACATATTGATGTAAACAATCCTGAATACTGTCTTTTTCAGCAATAATAAAAGATAAGCTGAAAATCCATTATAATGAAATGCTTTATATAATTTTATTCTGTATAGCAATGTTTTCCTGAATTTGAGTCTGTACACCACCTGAAAGCATTGAGCCATGAGATGTCAGAAGATGACATTGGTACATCCAGACTTGAGGTACAGAGGATTATGCACTGACATATGAGAACAGGGAACCAGTCCCAGTTCCTCTGTAAGAGCAGCTAACATCCTTACCTAATGGTCCATATCCAGCCCCTCATTTTCATTCTTGAACTTTTAAAAGATTTCAAAAGAAAGCATGAATGCTTTGTAAATTTAGACTGTGGTCTGTTTTGAAACTTCTTTTTCCTCAGTATATATTATGTTATATAGAAACAAAACTACAAAAAAATTAACTAAATGGTAGTTGAAGGAGCTATTATTGCCAGAGTATCTTGGGGTCAAATATAAATTTAAGGTTGACAGAACATTTGGAGATGCCTGTATGTACTTAATAATTCCAAAAATGTTTGAATGTTTGAACTTTTTCATTGGTGGTAACTTTACTCTGCTAGTCAAAAATAATCCAACCTATAGTATCATTGTATGTACCTGATAGTGCTCTTTGAACAGTTTATTTCTATGAAGAGTTACTTGAAAGGTATTTGAAGTTTGGAATGGTGAGTTGTCTGATATTTCAGCATTCTAGAATTCAAAGGAAGAGGTTCTTCACTGAGTTCAAGCCAAAGCTGTCTACATGAATTTGAGGTCAGCCCAGGTGACCTCAAATTGACAACAGATAGGACTATAAGTTAGTTAAAAGAATAGATCTGACTCCTGGCAGGAAGCAGGTGTCTGGCTACAGAATTTCACTTCCCTGTCTCCTCCAAATCTTTTTCAAGTCTTCTAGTCTCATCCTTAGCTCAATAGCAGAAGACATGCACTTGCTTCCCTTTCTTCTGTGACCCCATCCCCAGTGGATCACAAAGATCTAGTCCAATTTCTCTTTCTTCAGCGTATCTTATTTTTCAGCCTCTGAAGTTAGGAGCCATTCCCTGGGAAAACACCAGCTGATCAGGCCAATGAATCAGATAAGCTAACTGAGTCCCCTCGCCACTCCATGCTCTCTTTGGAATCTAATCCCAAATTCTAATCCCTAGATCAGCAATAGAATCCTAATAGAATACTTGATGCAATTTTCTTCCTGATCACCCTGCACACATTACCAGTGAATTCAGTAGAGCTTTCTTTCCTAACTTCTCTCCCCATACTTGCTGCCTTTCTGAAGATCCCTAACTCCTGCAGGCATGCTCTGCTAACACCAGGACACTTCTATTATAGAAGCAGGTGAGATGACTAAAAACTTCACTTCTCCCTCTGTTCTTCCAGATACAATTCCAGAGTCTCAGCAGCAGCTTTGCAGTAGAACACTTGTGGCAGCATCTATCCATTCTACCTATGGTAGATTTCACACATCTTCCTCCTCCTAAACTTTTTCCCTCCACTCATTGCTTTATTCCACCCCAATCCCCAACTACAGCAGGCATTCCCTGCTAACCCACAATGCGTTACTATCAAGGAAGCTGGTAAGCTATCTGTAGATCTTCCCCTTTCCTTCTGTTTTTCTAGGTCCAATCCCATAATTTCATCAATGCCTCTAATGTAGACCTCTCTTCACTCTCTGCACCTATTCTAAGGAGACTAAATAAGTAGATTCTGGTAGAACACATTACAGTTTTTTGTCTTGTGTGCCCACATCAAGAAACGTAGTCTATTCCCATTCCTAAGTATCATCTCCATACATGTAGAAACACATGGTAACTGGAACCCCAAGTGGCCCCACTTATTGCCTCCACAGAAAATTACCTACCAGGCATCATAAAGTAATCACACTCTTAAAAAATCCAGAGAGAAAACAGAAAACAAGAAACAAAACAAACAAAATAAAACTACAACAAACAAAGACCAAAAAAAAAAAAAAATCAGCACATACTCCTATAATCCTTGAAATACCACAACCAGGGTGCCAGCATGAAAACATAATCAATAACAGCCCGGACAATGTATCTCCACTAGATCCCACAACCCTGCCCCAGTAGTGTCAGGGTATTTTAACATAGCTGAAGCACAAGAAAAAGACTGAAAAACTGTATGCATAAGATAGAGGTCCTTATTAAGGAAATGAAGAAATCCTAAAAAAGACAAATGAAAGTAGGAGAAAAAAACAAATAAAACTGTTTAAGACCTGAAAATGGAAATATGATCAATAAAGAAAAGCCAAACTGAGAAAATTCTGTAAATGAATAACAAAAGTGAAATCTGACAGGAACTCCAGAGGCAAATTTCACTAACAAAGCCCAAAAGTTAGAAGCGAGAATCTCTGATGTTGAAGATAAAATAGGAGAAATGGATACATCAGTCTAAGAAAATGTTGAGTCAAAAATTTACTGACACAAAACATGGATAATACTTGGGGCACTATAAAAAAAACTAAATCTGAGAATAATAGGATTAGAGGAAGAAGTGACACAGTTCAAGGGACCGAAAATATTTTGAACAAAATCATAGAAGAAAATTTTCTTAGCCTAAAGAAGGATATGAGTATAAAAATATAAGAACCATACAGAAAACCAGATAGATTGTACCAGAAAAGTCCCCGTGGCACATAATAGTGAAAACACTAAACATTCAAAGAAAGAGTATTAAAATCTACAAATGAATAGGAGCCAGTAACATATCAAAACATTCCTATTAAAATTACACCTAACTTCTTTATGAAGATAGAGACTTTAAAAGGAAGAAGGGCCTGGACAGATGTGCTGCAGACTCTATGAAACAACAGATGTACTATTTTATTCACCAACACTTTAAAGCACCATAGATAGAGAAAATAAGACATTCCACAATATAACAAACTTAAGCAGTATCTGTCTACAAATATAGTGCAATAGAAGGTACAAGAAGGAAAACTCCAACTTAAAGATGTTACTTACAACTATGAAATAACATAATTGTTGGCACAGAGTTCAGGAATGGATTCCTGTGAGGAGAACACTGAGTGCTTGTAAGAACAACAATCATCCTGTGACCTCATTTCTTCACAAAATAGAATTCTTTTTGTGATGTATTTCTGTGCTCTTCAACAGAGGAGTGTGTTTACTTGATACTTCCGATTACAGCTTGTGCTGTTACTCAATTAGGTGTTTAAGTTATTCTGTATATGACTCTATGGAAAAATGTTTTTTTTAAAGGTGGGACTTGACCTTGAGATTTTATATAGCTTGCATTCATGAGCATATTATTCATGTGTCCTTTATTAACCCACAGTGAGTGGGGGAGGAGGAAGAGGAGGAAGAGGAGGAGGGAGAGAGGGAGAATATTTCTAGTACTACTACTGCCACCAAGCAACAACAAAAACAGATAACATGAAAGAACAATTGTTAGTCATTGATGTCTCTCAATATCAGTGTATCCAATTTTCTCATAAAAAGTCACACACTAACAGAATGAATGTGAAAACATGGTCCATCTTGCCTATACAAGAGATGTACCTCAACATTGGAGGACATTACCTCCGAGTAAATGGCTAGAAAATGATTTCTCCAAGAAAATGAACCTAAGAAACAATCTGGTGCAGTTCTTCTAATATCTAACAAAATAGACATAAAACTATAATCATTAAACAGAATCAGTGAAGGACACTTTGTACTCATCAAAGGGAAGATCACCAAGATGATCTTGTAATTTTTCACACCTATACCACAAAATGCAAGGACACCCAAGTTTGTAAAGGAAACAGTACTAAAGCTTAAGTAAAGTCTTATAAATTGATAGTGGGACACTTTAGTATTCCTTTCTCACCAATGGACAGGTCATTCCGACAAAAAAAAAACTAATAGAAAAAATAGAACTAATAAATGTTATGACTTAAATGAACTGAACAGTTATCTACAGAAAATTTCACCCAAACAAAAGAGAATATACCTCCTTCTCAGCACCTCTCAGAACTTCATCTGAAATTGATCATATGGTTGGTTACAAAGTAAGTCTTAACAGATAAACTAAAATTGAAATAACACCCTGCATCCTATTAGAATGCCATTGATTAAAGGTGATCTCAACAACAAAAACAACAGAAAGCTTACAAACTCATGGGAACAGAATGAGTCTCTCCTGAATAAAAAAGGGTCAACACAGAAATTAAGAAAGCATTTAAAGACTTTCTAGAATACCATAAAAATAAAAACACAGTATACTCAGTCTTAAAGGACACAATGAACGTGATTCTTAGAGGCAAGTTTATAGTATGAAGTACCTAATTTAAAAAAAAACACATGGAAAGATATCATACTACAAACTTAACAACACACCTGAAAGATCTAGGTCAAAAGAAGGAATCACATCAAAAAGAAATAAATGGCAAGAAATAAACAATTTTTTGATTGATACTTATGGCCATCTACTCAGTGCTGAAATTAGTAAAGTAAAAACAAAGAAAACAATGCACAGAATCAATGAAACAAAGAGTTGGTTCTTTAAAATATTAATAAGATTGACAAACTGCATGTCAATTCATCTAAAGAATATAGAGAGGATATTCAAGTTAACCAAATCAAAAATGAAAGGATCAAAACATCAAAGACCTAGAGACATCAAAGAACTCTAGAGATTTCTAAAGTCATACTATAGAAACCTATACTTCATTAAACTGGAATATCAGAAAGAAATGGATAAATTTTTAATAGATACCAATTTCCCATGTTAAATCAAAATTAGGTAAACAATTTAAATAGACAAATAACCCACAAGGAAATACAAGCAAACATTTAAAATCTACCAATCAAAAACTCTCAGATCCAGATCGCAGAAGTTTTAGTGCAAAAGTTTGCTATTCTTTCCAAGACCAGTCACTGCCAATACTCTTCATTCTATTCAAGAAAATAAAAACAGAAGGAATTGCTTAATTTCTTTGATGAGACAAAGGTTACTGAGATACCAAAAAGGCAAAATGATTAAAGAAAGGTGTGTTCCTACATCAGGTGTGAATGCTTAGACATACCCACAGCTAGATATTACACACACACACACACACACACACACACACACACACACACAAACACACACACACACACACATGAGGGGAGATGGAGGGAGGTTGGTAAGGGTGGAGTGGAAAGAGATACCTTGGGACACTAGGCTCTAAATGGGGTCTATCCATCAAATCCCTTCCCTCAGCACTCTGGAAAGCAGCCAGGAGAGGTACAATGAGTGTAAAGAGCCAGAAGGGATGCAGCACACCAGGAGAACAAGGCCCTCCATATCAACTGAGTAAATCTCAAATGAACTCATGGAGAACAAGACATCAATCATAGACCCTGGATGGGTCTGTACCAAGTCCTCTGTATACGTATTATAGTTTTCCTTTAGTATTTTTATAGGATTCATAAGTATGTGAATGAATGATTTTCTGATTCCTGTGTTTCCTCTTGTTATCATTTTCTTCTGTGGCTCTCTCTTATCCAAATTCAATCTGATAGTTTATATTTTATTGTAATATGCTTCATTTGATTATGTCTGAGAAACCTATTCTCTCTCTGTTTTTTTTTTTTTTTGACAGAAAGGGAGTGGATCTGGAGGCAAGAGTGTCTAGGGAGGAACTGGGGGTTTTAGAGGTAGAGGAAACTTGTAATCAGGGTATATTGCATGAGAAAAGAATCTTTACTCTATAAAAGAAAAAAATCAATTGCAAGATTATAAAGATGATAGAGAAAGAGACAGATAGATGATATAGATACATAGATAAATCAATGGGTGGATGGATGGATGGATAGGTGGATGGATAGACAGACAGACAGACAGACAGACAGACAGATAGACAAATAGATAAATGATAGGAAGACAACAAAATATCATCAAATTGGCTGCTGATAATAACCTGAAGAAATAAATGATGCAAGCTATTTTATAACAGCCAGCTGGCATTCTAAAGGGCGGAACTATGTCCCATTGCATGAAGCTTTCACATGAAAAACAAAAATAACAGAAAGGTAACATCTTTGTCTTTGCTTGTAGACATCCCCCAGAAACTGAGGAAGCATGTTCAGGAAGCTATCCTGAGTTTCCATCTGGATTCCCAGGAAGAGCAGGAAAAACAACTGAAACATCAGCCATGCCAAATTTATCTATGGAAGGGGGAAGTGGGAAACACAATTGGAAACTTCAGCCTACTGATTCAACTTTTCTAGTCACTTCCTGATGGAAACTGAGAGCACCTGATTTGATCACATGATGTCTATTACTTAGAAGCATCATCCAAGAGGACTTTCAGAGGGGAAGCCCAGGTAGCTGCCATAAGTTAACTACCCTAGAGGATCAATGTTGGACATCTTAGTGCTTGAAATAATGTTCTGCATCTGCTCGTCTGTCTATCATTGATCTTTCTCTCTGTCTGTCTGTCATCTATTTATTTACGTCTTCCTTTGCTTTTCTTGCTGTATACTTTTTAAACTCACTCATTCAAAAGGAAAAGTGTGACTATTGTTTTCTAAATGGAATATCAGACACATAGCATTTACAAATCACATTGAATAAACTAAGCAGATTGTATTTAGGAATATGTGTGTGTGTGTGTGTGTATATATATATACACATATATATAGTAATGTATGTAGATATATGCATTCAATAACGATTAGAGAAATAAAGAGGACCTGATTCACAGAACAAGGATAGGACTATGCGATAGTTTAGCAGAAAGGAGAAGAGCAGTGTAATTATACTATAATCTCAAAATTATAAAAGTACAAAATGATTTGAAGCAAACATTTTCTGTCATTTGTCAGGATGGACTTTTCTCTCATTGGATGACTTTTTTTTCCAGTGATTACAGCTCAAAGTAAAATGTCATAGCATAAGATAATGAACTTAACTCTCTGAAACAATGATGCAAAACTGAGAAAGAGTAGATCATAGAACAAATGTAATGTGAGGACTGAAGAGTTACATAAATCACCATTCATGATATGGAACGGATAGCAAAAATCAAATAGAAAAAATAAAGATTTCATGAAACCAGAGAGCTAGGCACAATGACTTAATTCCAGACTCTGACTCTTTAAGGTATTATTTGCCATTCCATGGATATGTTGCCTTTATATGGAGGGCTGCTAAATCTTCTTCAGAAACAGTGTTAATATGGTTGTAACATATTCTCCTATTTACTACATATATTGGAGAGGTCAGAAAAGAGCAAATTGTTAGCATTTTGTTGGCTTACAAAAAATAGCAGTATTCTTTGTTGTCTTATTAAAGATATTTCCATTCGATGTAATACAGTTTTATTGAAATGGAGAAAGTTATGAAGTTAAAACATACCCAATTTGTGAAGATGAAATCAACACCACACAGACTCAGATATTTAGAGTCTATTGGGTACTTTGTTCTGTTCAATGGCAGTATTTATTTAGGTGCAATTTCATTTTTCAAGTTCTTCTTGTTATATGCACTGTTTAGACATTTTCAACAGGATTGTTTTCTCTCCAAATTATATTTAAGAGGCTATTCCCACTTTTCAGATTAGAGAACTGAGAAAACCCCCTTTTATTCATGTTTTCTCTTTTACTGCTTATAAGAAACTATTTCTGTAAATAGATATTTTTTAATATCAATATGTTTTCTGTCATTACTTAAAATACTGTGTAGTTTATTTTATACTAATAATGCTTTAATAAAGTAAAATAAATTTAAAAATTCTCATACACATAAAGGAGTTAAATATATTTGGCTAGAAAATGCATGTTTCAAATCTGTCTCCACTTACCTTCCCCTTTAGCAGTAGAAAATGATGCAGTTAGGAGGAGATTGGCAAAGAGCAAGATGCTATAGAACCCCATGTCCTAAATACTAGAGCTCTAGATGTGGAGGTGCTGCTGGGAAACCTGTCATTAACCGTGGTGTGCATGACATTGAATTTCAGTGTATTACTGGATTCCAGTCTGGTAAATATCAAAGTTCAAAAGGGAGGGTCAAAGCAAACAATATTCAATCAATGATTTCACAATAATACTCTAAGTTAATTATTTTACATTTATAAAGCTATATAATATAATTCAACTTCTTTTTGTGCCAGTATCCTAGTCAGTCAAATCATTATTCAGAAAGGAAGATAAGAGAATAAATTTCTTTTGCCTTCTTATAGGAATGATAGCAGGTTATGGCAGTTGGTTTATTTGCTTCTTTGTAAGCTTACGTGGCTACTTCTGGTAAAACGAATGCTAGTCCTCAGGTAGGAATTCTCAGAACAGATCCAGCTTAAGATCATTTGGGCCCTGTGATGTGGAGTATACCACTTAGACTTATATTCCTCTTGGGCGCAACAAAGTGCAGTAGAAAGAGTCCTCAATATCTTGAGTTTATTAGAAAACTTTACTAACAACTGAAGACTGGTTCTCTTGTCTAGCATTGGTGTGTTTCTTAGATGGTTTTGGTTTGGGAATGAAGATTATCACCATAATTGTATGTACAATATAAAATGTGCATCCATACAAAGAATTGTATGTGTGCATGCACACACACAGACACACACACATTATATATATATATATATATATATATATATATATATATATATATATATATATATATAATTATAGTTTATTTTTTGTAAGGAGTTAATAATATGATTCTTTATGATTTTTCCCATGCAGATTTACTGCTTTTTCAATATTATTCCTCTTATATTTTTTCTCGATTTCCCTAAGTAAGTCTCGATCTCCTTTTTTTCTATTTCTCCTGTTAAATTATTTGTATCCTGCTATTCTCCTTTCTGTTGCTAATGCGGCATACTACTCTAGCAATGTTCTATATGTACTTTTTTGGTATCATCAGTTGCTCCAGCATATAGACTCACCTGTGAAGATTTGGAGCTAGGAGTCTCCAACAAGAGCGATCATGTAAGGTTTGTCTTTATGTGTCTGGGCTACCAAACTCGATTTGATCTTTTCTGGTTTGCCCATTTACCTGGAAATTTTATCATTCCACTTTTCTTTATTGTGGAGTGGAATTCCATAGTGTATATGTCAGGCATTTTCATGATCCACTCATCATTTGAAGGACATTTAGGTTGTTTGCATTTACTATCTATTGTGAAAAGACCAGCAATGAACATAGGTGGTATGTGGGTTAAGATGTCAACTGTTTTGGCCTGTGTCCTGTGTGGCTTTGCTATATAATGAAGTAGATTTATTTTAGACATACTGAGGATATTCTGCATTGATTGAGATGGTGGCTGCACCAGTTTACAATATGGATAAAAGTCTCATGAGGTTTCCCTTTTCTCCAGCATTTATTTCCAGGGTTTCGTTGAAATGGTCGTTTTGGAGGTGGTTGACAATGCTGACAGAGTCAGATGAAATCCCAAAGTTGTTTTGATTTACATTTTCCTAACTACTAGGGTTCAAGATCCTTGTTTGAGAAATTTATTAGCCATTTTTCTTTTATCTCTTTTCTATTTATTACTTTCTTTCATTTAGTATATCCAACAACACCCTTCTCTCCCTCCACCCCTCCCAGTTTATCTTCCATCTCTTCTTTTGCGTGAATGCAAAGCTCCTTCATTTTCTATGAAAAAGAGCAAGTATCTCAGAAATATCAACTAAACATGCCATAACATGTTGTAATAAGACTTAAGATAGTTCCTTTCATTTTTTACTTCTGTGACCTCTCTTTTCAGATCCCAGGTCTATTGTTTGAATGGGACATTTGTTTTTGTTTTGTTTATTCTTTTTATTTTAAGTTGTTTACATATACTGGATATTTAAAAAAATTAAATTAGAAAATAATTTTCTTTTATCTTTAATACTCACACTAATAGTAGAGATACTCATAAATTACAAATAAAATTTAATACCCACATTCTATACTGGCTTTACTTCCTACTATCCAAGTGTGATGACTATTCTTTATTGTCAACTGCACTGCCTCTGGAATGAAGTGAAATCCACCAATAAAGGACTTACTTGTTTAGATTTTTTAGCTTGATTTTAAGTGGGTTGATCTTCTTCTAGTCAGGACAACTGATGTAGGTAGGCAAACACCTTTGTTCTAGAGTTTGTAGCAGAAAGACATGTGTCTTTAATGTAGATCTTTTGAAGGGAAGACACATCTTTAATCTGGACCACAATTCTGCTGGAAGCCTGTATAAGAACATGCAAGAAGTAAGCTTTTGCTCTTTGCTTGTTTGCCCTTGCCTAGCCAAAATAATCCTTCCTACAGAGGTATTAGAACATACATCTTTTGAGATTGCAGAGTATAATAAATACAAACTGAGACCTACAACTTTGTAGACTGAGTAACTACTAGACTCTATGCCTATCCACTCATAGAAAGCTGTTGTTAGATTAGCTGGACTATAAGTCTTCTAATAAATCTACTATTCTCATACAAATACAGAGAGAAATAAAGACACAGACACATACAAACACATACACATACACACACACACACACACACACACACACACACACACACACAGAGAGAGAGAGAGAGAGAGAGAGAGAGAGAGAGAGAGAGAGAGACAGACAGAAAGAGAGACAGAGAGTCATAGAGACAGAGAGTCATCCTAGATCTTTTACTGTAGAGAATCTTGGCTAATAAACATTTTGATATAAGAAGTGAATCTAGAACAATAGAAATATAAGGAGAAATCTTTTAAATACCTGGAATAAGCTTTTCTATCTGTTAAAAACCAAAGCTACTAAAGCCTATCAAATTATCCCCTTTCCTGGGATCTCAGAGAGTCAAAGCATATGATTAGATGTATATCACAAATTTGAGGAGATACATGTATTTGATTCACTAGTTGTGACTGGCAATGAATTTGTTAACCCTGTATATGAAAAATTTGACAGTTAGTGGGAAGATGAGAAAAATGCTATGGGTTGGTTACTCTCTGCATCTCTGGACCAGTTGGCAAAAGATATGGCTTAGTTTCATGGTAAAATTAACTAACTTCTAGCATTTCAGGATATGGTGAAGGGCAACAAAAACTCAGTAATAAAACTGACTTGCTCCAGGTGTACATAAAGAGTCTAAAGTTTCCTCAATGTGTTCTAAAAGAAGATCTCTTTAGCAACCACACAGCTTACTTTGTGGTAAATCAAACTCAAGTCATCCATACAAGTTTGCCAGAATTATAGTGAAAATTCAAGTTGTCTTAATATTTCATTCTGTGGATAGTCAGCTTCTTTTCACGGACGTACCTGTCATTGTCCAATGGGTTTATGAACAAAGTGGAGATGGTAACAAGATGAGGTATATACATGGGCTTGACAACATGGACTTCCACTCACAAAGACTGCCCTGGCTACAACTTTATTCTAAGGTTAAATCTGCCTACAGCATAGACCAGTACAAGCTGCTGATATGGTACCATTCTTGGTGGAGTCTAGCCAGTAACCTGTTGACAGGTTGACTGATATTGAAACACTTTTCCTGTGGGAAGTACACCTTTTTGTCCTCCTGGAGAAGATACTTATTTTGATTATACATTTGCCTCTTCTGCAAATAATACCTCTGGCAAAATGACCATCTATGGACTTAAAGAATGCCTTATTCACTATCTTGGTATTCTACACAGTACTGCATCTGACCAAGACCAATAATCATAGAAACCACTGGTGTTAACATGTTCCCCATTTTTCTGCAGCAACTAACCAAATGGAGAGATAAAAAGGCCATTTGAAGACACAGATATAGCTTAAAATTACATGACAACAACTGGGAGCACTGTTGCAATGTTCCTCATAGAGCAGAATATGTTTTGAATATTCAACTAATATATCATATGGTGTCTCTTGCAGACAAGATCCATGGATCAGTATCAATGGATTCAAAACAGAAACCCATTGTCACCCCTGTGACGGTCTAGGAAATAAATTGCCTCCTGTTCCTGAGACCATAATTTCTGCGAATCTAGAAGTTTTGTTTCCAGAGTAGAGAATGCTCCTGAAATGAGTCAAATAAATATTGTATTAATCTAGAAGTTCTGTCTTCCATATGGCCACTTTGGGATTCTAATATTCTTTAGCAAACAGGCTAAGAAAGAATTAACAGTTTTAAGAGGGTCGATAGATCCACATTACCAAGGTAAAATTGGTTTGCAATTCCATAATGGAAGTATGAAAATTAAATCTGGCAAACAGAGAACACTTTTGGGTGCCTCCTGGTCCTATATTTTCCTATGATGAAGGTCAATGGGAATTTACCATTGACTAATTTACCATGGTCTAATCCAGGCAATATGACAAAGAGTACAGACCTTTCAGGAATGAAATTATGAGTCATTCTTCCCGGTAATGAGCCAACATCTGCAGAGGTGCTTGCTGATGGTGGAGAAAATACAAAATGTGTAGTAAAGGAATATAGTTATAAATATCAAATGTGGTAATTAAATAAGAATGGCCCACATATACCATGTAGTAGAATTCCTGGAATATAGTGATACTATTAGGAGATATGGTCTTTTGGGCTAGGTGTAGTCTTTTTTTGTATATTTTATTTACATTTCAGATGTTATCCCCTTACCCCTCCCCCCCAGGAACCCCCTATGCCATCTGCCCTCCTCCTACTTCTATGAGGATGTAACTCTGAGTATGTTAGGCTCTGGCAGACCTCTAAGGAGACAGCTATAACAGGCTCCTGTCAGCATGCACTTCCTGACATCCACATCAGTGTCTACCTTTGGTGACTGCAAATGGGATGGATACCCAGGTGGAATGGTCTCCAGATGGCCCCTCTTTCAGTTTTAGTTCCATATTTTGTCTTTTGAGTATTTTGTTACTCCTTCTAAGAAGGAACGAAGAACCCTCACTTGGACTTCCTTCTTCATGAGCTTCATATGGTC